TTTTTTTTTTTAATGAACTTTTTTATTGTATTGATAATTAATTATTTATGCTGGTTATCGTAATGCATACTTCCTTGTACATTTCAATATTCACAGTCAGCTAATGCTAGTCCTTTTTATTACCCTTGAGGGATAGTCTTCACAATTATTTTTTATTTATCCGTTTTATATTGAGCTCGAAAGCCCGTCCGAACTTCACCAGCTGCCAAACAGTTCTCTTCGCTATCTTGAAATTAAAAAGCAGACAGACTTCTCATTCTTACTCAATTTCCCTCTTCTTCTTCCTGTTGCTCTCTCTATAACGGCTTGCCGCTACTCTCACAAGAGGAAGCATAGATCCCGCAAAATCATACGATTTTGCTTATGCTTGCAAAAGCAAAAGGAAAAAAAGGAGTACCGCAAAATCATACGATTTTGCCTGTACTTGTAAACAAGGAAATCAGAGAAGAGTAAAATAAACATATCCCGCAAGATCATACGATTTATTACCGGTACCACAAAATCGCATGATTTTTCAAACGGCATACCGTTATTGCGCTCCTTGCGGTTGACACAGACCGACAGACACCCTACCCAAGGTTTGTTCGCGGCCGTTACAACATATCCTCGAAGAATTAATCATACCGAACCGATTTATAATGCGGAACACGAAATATGACGTCCTGATCGAGGTACCAACCAACATTCAACGGACACAAATGAATTCCACACTATTTGAATTAGAAAGAGAGTGCAAATTTGCCGGAATTGTGTCACATATTCCTATTAACATCTTGCACATTCGAATACCTCATATTCAGAGCGGATTTCATCCATATTTTTGTGGATACGATAACGTTACATTAACAATCCACGGTGTTAACATACATATCCCAATGTTTCGTTTCAAAACGCTTGCATTTTGAAATAAACCCGTTAATCAACATACCACCCCGCCAGAAATGCTTCTTCACTCAAATAAACTTGGCGGATACCGAATCGTGAATGATCAAATGTCATTTCCTCTGTCCGACATTAAATTTGAATGTACTAGCCCCCAAAGGATCGAATTCCAATGTCCTTCCGCGGATGTAACTCATCATCATTCCACTTCAGGTATTCATTGCCAATCGAGGCACAAAAAACCGATATTCATCTGAGGATTACCAAAAGCTGATCACACTCACTTAAAAGGTGCAAACCAACGTCGACACCACCAGGATTCCCCTTAGCCATAGTTACAGATTTAGTAATCCTGTATGAATCCTGTAATGAATCTTGCCTAGTTGAGCCTTGGCCTGAATTGGTACTTCGCATTTCTCTCTCCTTATTGTCAATGATATTGCAGGTACGACGGTTTTCCTTTTTCGGAATGGTATTTGACGGGTCACGAGACGGGAAGTATTTACAATGTGCCAGCATCTTTCACAATCAAGTCATCGACTAACCGTACCGTAGATGTGTGGTATTTGGGCGTGTTAAATTTTCCTAAACATTGATATGTATGTAGATTTTAGTGCCTATTATTTGTTTGTTTGTTTGCATATATGGTAAAGCAAGTATAAATATAATTGAAACTAGTTTTATTTTTAAAATTTTTAAAAAATTAAAGAATTTTTTTTTTTATTGATCAATTACGAAAAAAAAAGGAAAAAAAAGAATGATGAGAAACAACGTAGATACCGCTGAGACGAGCTATGCGTGGGTGTGCGTGTGAGCGAGGGTTAGTCAAAAGTCAAGACAAAGCAACAAAGTTCCCGACCTCATACTCTTTTCAGGCCCAGCGGTAAATACGAAACGCGATATTATGAATGACAAAAGAAAGAGTTGATACTTGGCCAGCACATTATCAATTGTATAAGCATGCGCATAAAATTAGAATCACATCGCTTCTAATACACACCACCCTTCAGGCGGGCCTGCTATGACGAATTTCGTAACGCCTGCGACATATACAAGTTCGTGATGCTGAACCGTATGGTCGAAGCAAACATCGGCAAGCGCCTGCAGGCAATAATAGTAGTCCGGCTTGCCTTCTTCAGGGGAGCAGGCTGCTGTCCAAACAGAAGAAGCCACCGAACAAATCTGCTAGCCTTCATCATCAATTTGTTGCTGATTGGAGAAAACTGGGTACAAGAAACTGTCACCAATGTGCCATCATTTTGAAGGAAAGTCATGCAGGAAAGCCAGAAAAGTGGAGGTAAATGCAATATTATATAAATATATATATTTATAAGTTTCTAAATTTTTTGTTTTCAATTTCAGAGTATAAAAGGTCCGCTAATAACGCAACATAGGAAAATCGTGAGGGAAAACCAGCAAAATGAAGGTAATTACAATTTTATATAAATATATTTATAAGTTTCTAAATTTTTTCGCTTACTTACATCTTTATTTTTATTTAATCTTATATAAAAAGACAAGTATAAGTGTACGCTGCTTCAATGCCGCCATTACCTCCTAATTGCTTCCTCGTCCCAAGGTAATTATAATGTTACATAAGTATATTTATAAATTTTTTATTATTATTCTATTTTAGATTAGAATAAATACCAAGCCCAACTCTCCTCTCATCGTCTCATATCAATGAAAATTCGCTACATGCCAAAGATAGGTTAGCATTTATTTGTACTTGTTATTATCACAATTTATTCATTTCTTTCTTATTTTATTATGATTCTTTCGTAGACCAAATGATAAGTTGTGGTCATCTTTATATATAATATTTATTAATCACAATATATTTCTTTTGCAGATGTCAGCACACCGGCGCAGCAGCGGTCTTTTTTTTATGGATTATATATGTATTTATGTGTTATTATGTATATTAGTGGGGCTTTTTATTTATTACGTATTACTATGTATTATTATATATTATTATGTGTTATAATAATTGCAAATATTATTACAGTTTTAAGTTAGGTTTATAATTGTGTAGGCCTAAAGGGGAGCCAGCCATTTAAAACAATTGGCGACGCGCCTATCACGGTACCTTAACGGTGGTGCGGAAACCGTGTGGAATTTTCGGCTAGTTTATTAGAAGTCAGTATATAGAGATCTTAAATGCCACGTTAGTCATTTATTTAAATTTTCATTGGACAATTTGTAAAACCAAAATTAGAAATGATTTAAAAATATAGTTAAATATTTCATAATTTCATGTGTACTTCTCAAAAGATGACGATAGTCAAATCCAGGGTATACACAGTTATTAGCTGCTAAAAAAACGGTGCCGGGAAGGTCGCTGAAACTAGAAAACGTAAGTTAAAAAAAAATGTTAGAAAAGTTCACGAGAGTCACTTGATATTGTGCAAATTTGATCTAAGGCTATCGGCTTTTATTAAAAACTCTACCGAACTTGAGATTCGAACCCACGACCATTGACTTGCTAGTCGAGATTCCTCTCCTTGGGTTACTCAGGCGGATCATTTATTTTATAATTTGAAACGTATGGTAAGGAAACATTGCTTCTTTTTAATTTTTGACAACTGTTTAGTTTTAAATATATCTTAGTTTATTCATATCTGTTTAATCATGTGTTTGTAGTTAATTTAAATACATATTGTCACTTAACGTTTGCTCTTGCTTTGCACATTCAAGTTTGGTTGAATGTACATTCATTAACTTGGCATTGTTCATGCACTTGCATTTGCATGTTTCTGTGTTAATTTGCTTTAGCATAACTGACTATAGACAATGATATCACAAATTACGCAATCCAGACCTTGAAGTGTGTCGTCGTTGTTTACGTTAATTTGCTTGTGTTGCATTTTTCATGGCACACTTCAAGTCATTCATAATTCTGGAAAAAACATATGCAAAAAGTGCAAGAGTATCAATTCATACATTCGTTTATTGCAAAATAATTCTCAGTCAGTTTATAAGATTTATAATTTATAATCCATGATCCACCATGTGTTTTCGTTCGGTCAATATCACCGATAACCACTTATACGACATGCAATTATGATAACAACATTGTTGTATGGAATTTTTATTTTCTCAGTTGTTTGGAATTTCCATACAAATTATTAAGAATATATACGCGTATTCTCGCATCGATGGTTTTTTTACAAAACCTGTTGAATTATTGAGAACGAATATGAGCTTATTCCTTAAAGTGGTACAATACATGCAAACTTATCGAGAATTTTATACGCTTATTCTTAAAAGTGGTACAATACATGCAAACTTATCTAGAATTGTAAACAAACGTATTCTTTTTTTTTTTTTTTTTTGTTTGTATTTGATATGGATTGGACCTTTTAACTTAAATTTAGATCCATAATCCAGTAACTATATAGAAATCCATTGATGATATTCAAAATTTCACGTGATGATGAAATATTGATGCTTTTTTACTAAGATTTTTTCAATTTTTTGCTTTCTCTTTTCTTTATTTCTTTATTTCAATTGAGTAACACGCTGAAGTTGGTTGTGTACACCCCAACGACAGCATGAAGACTGAAAAAAAACAAACGTATTCAAACATTCTCAATTGTGCGGAATTTTTATTTTCTCAGTTGTATGGAATTTGTATTTTCTCAGATGGTTGGAATTTGTATACAAATTATTGAGTACGAATATATACGCTTAATCTCGCATCGATGGCTTTTTTACACCATTGCGGGGAAAATTTTTTTGAGCTTTTGTTCATTTTTATAGAACAAGTTGCAGCTTTTGTCAGAGTCGAAAAAATAGCTTCCATCGTAGTCAATACGATCCCAATCAGTATCAATAGCACCGGTAGAGGTTACACCATTTCTGGTTTCTTCGCTTATTCGAATCAATTGGCCGGAAACTACCGTAACCTCGACGTCGTCATCCCAATCAGTTCCGGTGCTGAAGAAATGAAATCCCCAATTTCGAAATCTTTCACTTTATAGTGTATGCAAATATTGCTTTGCAAGACCGCATTGTTGTGGAGTGCCGCGCAAACGGTTGCGAATTTGCCCATTTTTAGCGCATTGTACCTGCTCTTCCGATCTTCCATGAAAATGCGCCAACGACCTTAGAAATTGAATAGAGACTTAGCTTATAGATTATATTTATATTATATATTATATTTATATAAATCGATACATCTGTTCACAATGCTTCTGGCCTGGGAATGAATGTCATTATATTTCTTTTTAGTTGGGTCGACTGCATTTTTATACGGCGGCATTAATCATGGTTCCAAAGGGTATCCGCTACCACCTGAAAGATTTTGATTAATACAGTTACATAGCGCTTCACATTATCTTGCTGCTTACCAAGGAGCCAACCATTACTTCCATTCCTATTGTTGTTGTATAATTACCAGGCGTTCTTGAAAACTGAAAAAATAAAATTTTTTTTTCAAATTTTTTACATCTTTTCCTAAATAATTTAATATTTTTTCTTGGGAAAACAGCTGATCATGGTATTGCACAACTACATTTTTGTTTATAAATTGAAAAAACCGCGGCGCAACCAAGCGGTTGTTTATAAATTGAAAATGGGGGACTGGTACTGTCATCCAAACTTTTTTTCCCAGTTTTTTTCAACTCGTCACGCATCTGGACGGAATTTGACGAGATAGTTATTAGACACAAATGAACTAGGAAATACATTTGCGCTTACTTGCTTTACTCGTCTTTTGGATGCGCTTACACGAAATAATCTGACTGAATGGAGCCCATTCTTCTCTAAATAAGTAAGGCACGAGACTTCGCTACTATTGATTCTGGCTTTGCAAGACCGCATTGTTCGTTGACATGATTCTCGCTGTATTGCGTGGTATTCTTCTCCAATTCCTGACTTTTACGACGCATATCTGTTTGACTGCGCGATTTTTTTATCGATGCACATTTACCAATATTACCAAAGTAATTGCTCACTGAACTCGTTTCCGAACGTGTCTTGCCTCCACTCTCTACCGGTGTATTGGAAGATAAGCTTTCACAGGATTGTACCTAAATTTGTAATGATTTCCTTTCGAAAGCAGGTTGCATTAAATATTTTTTTGTTATATTTACGTCATCATGGAATTTGAGTGGATCTGTAACTACTCCCCCTTGAAATAAAGAAGCAATCGAATTACGAGAACCGTTCTCTGAACAAACACCACGTACTTTATCATTGGCCACACACGACTCGAGACTATTGCCAAATATTTGCATATTGGAACCTGATCCAAAATAGAAAATACAATGAAATAACCTTCAAGTTATTGCTGTATTAAGTATCTTCATACACTACATACTATCATATGAATTTACCTATAAGGAAGAGTGTTTAAAAGTAAAGAGTTTTTTAAAGTAAATCGCAAATCAGAACTTAATTTTCTATTACTTTCTAAAAAATACTTTGTTGGAAATGATTTTGTGAAGCTTTGAATTTTCGAAAATAGTGCGTAATGTTCTTAGTAGCTTTAAACATTATTTATACGTAAATATATTTACAGACAAAAATTTACAATACGATTAATGACTGACTGTCAACGAACAGAATGATTCGAATACTATTCTTAGAAAAAGATAAGACGAAGGTACCTCTTTAAAAATTTCAGGATTCATTGATAATCACATCACATTTTCAAAATTAAATGAGCACAAGCTCATTGACAAGTGTCAGTTAATTTTCTTGCGATTCTAGTCGTTTCGTTGAGTTTTTGGAATTAGATCATTGATTAAATTGTGTCTCTCACAATTAAGAATTTCTGTTGTATCAGGTTCATCATCTAAGTAGGCTCTATAAGTTCGATGGCGCAACGTCTAGGAAACCAACCTCGGACCTTTTGCTTCCTCTCTTCCATGCTATTCGGGCCAGTAAGCACACGTTCTCCAAACAGCCAATGCCTTCGAAAACGTGTTACCCGTATGTCATCCTTTTCGAGACGTATAAGGGATTCATCGGTACAAGGCGTTGCTAAACATACACGAAAGCTTTGAGACCACAAAGGCACATAACTACCGGTGGCTTTACGTATGCATTTAAAAGTTCGTGTACGTGAACGTTTCTCAAATTTCTGGGCGATTTGCTCCGTACTTTTCAGTCAAATTAACAGTAAGTACGATTTTATCTTCTTATCTTCTTCTTACCTGCGGTTGCCATTGTTTGGGTAATGTACCCGGACCTATTACAGTCGCCATCACATAATTACATGTGGCCGCTGAGGACAGCATTAAAAAGAGTGCTTAATTTAGAAAAGTAAATATGGATAAATTTGGCGGCCACCACATTGAATTCATATACAATGTAGTTAATGTTTTGCATTTTATTATACCTATAAGTAGATATAGTAAGAAACGAGTAAGTATTTTTGCAAAGAAAATTTCTTTTTTCTGAATTTCTCAACACCTTTAACTAAACTGAACATTTTTGATGGTATCTTTAAATTAAGTAATTAAAATGAGCTTCGTCTGCCGCCACTTGAAACTTATTTTACACATTCATATATTGGGATAGGTCATTAATAGGTTAATTAATTAGCAAATAGTCGCTGAAATAATCCACTTGACATTAATTTGTGTGTTTATTAATAATCAACTAAGGATTTAAACTACTTTGAATTCATGACTTCGAAATTTTCAAAAGAGTTTAACCAGCTCTTTAAACAAGAAATTTTAGGGATAAAAAATGAACTTGTTTTTATTAAAAACCAGGTAAATTGTGCACTGATAATAAACAAGTCTTGGATTAGTCAAGGTTTACGTTCATTCCATAAATTAACGTTCGTCAGCTTGCACTTTCGTTCGGTCGATTTTGTTATAGCCTTCATGAAAGGGACTTCCGTTCATATTTTATCTTTGAACATAATCCACTGTTATAAGACCACAAAACTTCCGTTAAGCTCACCATTAATATCAAGTACAGATTTGTACACTTAATCAAATGGAGTTGGCGTAGAGTCAAAGATTATGATGGAAAGCTTCAATTTGTAAATATATCGTCTGTTAATGACAATTAACTGTGGTGACTCTCAAAATTTATCCAATACAATGATTTCTGTATTCATTCTCCGCTTTTAATACGAAATCTGACACACAAGTGCCTCTTGTGTAGACGGAACCATAAGAGCTGGCAAAGTACGTAAGTAAACTAGTCAACGCGAGCAACTTCTCTGCTTGACAGAACATATGTAGAAATTTTTTTATAAATTTTTTGCGGCGAACTCCTGAAGGAAGCTCTATGCTAACCATCTAACCAGGCAAACGAAATCGTTTCGTATGGAAAGTTTTTGACGAGAGTCGTTGTTCGCACGACAAGCAGTATCGCTAACTAAAATGTACGTAAATATTAACCATTTTACAGTGCAAGTGTATAACAAACATGTACGATAAATTAATATATAAATAAATAACATAACGGATTTATAATAGTGTTTTAAATAATTTAAATTGTAGTCATAGTTGATATGTAAACACGGGAATATTAAAGCATATTTATATGATGGCTTTTATCCACTTTCGGCGGATAAACGATACGACGAACTTATCTACGTTCTATTATCGTAAATCCCGACTTCGCCAAAATGTCTAAAAAAATGAGGGCGTATCAACAAAGAAATTTTTTTAAAATAATAGTAACTCGCCATCTTTAAGTCGAATCAGTCTTAAAAACTATACGAACAGTTTTGAATTGCTATCGTTGGCATGCGAATGAAGTTAATCAAAATTATTTGACCTATATTTATTGTCTATTACCACATTATTGTATACTTATATACATATATATTTAATTTCGTTTAAGCTGAAGGTTTTAAGGAGCCAAATGCCGATATTACCGTTCCTTTAGTGCCAGTTACTGTGGTGGTTAAAGTAGGTGGCGCAGTTGGTTTAGCAGCCGGTTGATCCCACTTAGACTTTCTATAGGTCGCACAACAACGAATCAATACTAATCAATTGATTAATTGTACCAATGTCATTAGTTTTACCTCTTCTTAGCCTCTTCTTCCACTTTCCTAGCTAATGCCGAAACCTGCTCAATTTTATCTTTGTCTTTACGTTCCTTTTGCCGTTTCGTCATTTCAACCCGTTGCATTCTGTCCAATTCTTCGTAATAGCTTTCCGGGCCCCAACGCAAAGGATCATAAACTTCAGGCGGATAATTAGTACCAAACTCATTGATGTCACAGAACTGTATTAATTTTTCGTATATACTTGGATTACGAAACTCTTTGCGCTGTTGTATCACACAATTCATGTCCATATTACTAGTTTCCATTTTCTCATATAAATGTTTAACCTTTTCTGTTAATTCAGGCAGAGGTTTGCTCTTAGCCTCCGGAGGCAATGAAAAAGCGTACTTTGCGTATTTATCGGATTTTAAAACAGTTTCAGAGGTAATACCGTCTTTCTGTAAACACGAATGGTCTGCGTCATGGCAGGTTTGGGTAGCAGGCTCTTCTTTATGTTGCGCCCCTGATTTATCCACAGTTTTCAAAGGGCTTGCATTGTCTGAATTGACCGAGGACTGTGGGCTTACTTCATCGCCTTTTTCACCTTCTTCTTCTGTGCTGTCCTCATCGGTTATAATGGTATCGTCATGATAACTCACTAAACGTTTTACAGATTTCAATTTTTTTTTACTGTTCTTAACCTCTGGATTATCAAAACTATCTTTAAGTTTGTTTTCTGGGCTTGGTTGTGGAGTGCATTTAATGGAAGGAATGATAGCCTTAAAAAAAACAAAATAATTTAATTTTTATTTTCTTCTTTGGGTAGTATTAACCTGTGATGCTTGCGAATTCTGTGAATCCGGCGATTGATGATGATCTTCTTCATTTTCAGAATCTGTATACTGTGCGGTTAACGTAGCTAGTGCAGAATTACTCATTTTTTGGATGTTGTTTTAAGATGGACTAAGCCAATAAGATCTGCGACTTATATATTTGTAAGAAATGTATATATAATCACTTATTTTTGATATTATTAATTTGAGAATTGACGAAAACACGGAACGGTAAATAAACATCTGTTTTTAATACAGCTTCCTCATTTTCTTTTTCATTCACAACAATAATAGCCATCTAAAAGCACGGCCAGTTGACAAAACACTTATTTGGGGATTTATCGACAATATTCCCTCGCTTTTTATTGCTCCATTATTTAATTGATATGTTAAGTTGTAAAGCAATAAAGGTTTGCTTATATTCCTACAAATTATAGCAGTACGCACGCAATAAATGCTGCGCTTGCCTCTCTTCCTACATCATATAAAAAAAAGTAAACAAGTCTTCTTCTTTTTCTGTTATTCAGCAAATCAACAACCGAGATATCATGTGTACGAAAAACCCAATGAGAACACAAAGTTCTATGTTTGAGCCTTAGTAAAGTTAGGGTTAGTTTAGGTATATAATTATATACTATATATAATAATTGTTACTATTTATTTATTTTATTATTTCTTTGTATTTTGTAATTAAACTATCTTTAATTAATGTCTTCTTCATTTTGCGTGTTATACTTCCACTACTTCTTTTTTTAATTTCTTATGAATTTTGCATACTACACGTTCGTCACTTAGGATAGAACAGCGTACATTAAATTACCTAGTGTACCAAGTGAGCATGAAGTGTCATATCAACGAAGTGAAAAATACGAGAGTAAAAAACTGTGAACCTATTATGTTGGCTATAAACACATATATATATCTTGGTGACATCTAAGTAAACCACTAAGTTGTGTGAACGCATAATGCAAAAAATGCTGCGATCATGAAAACCATACGGACACTCTGCGAAGTGTGGAATGGCGAATAGGAGTGTTAATTATCGGACAGACAAATAGAATACGATCACACGTGTGCTTAAAGGATTATTCACTTGGGTAATTTTGAATGGATGATCAGTACATATCGTGTTCAACATCATTAAACATCAGCCTGTTAACAATGTCTCATCGGTGCCCGCTAGCAAAAGCGGAGTTTTAAAATAAATCTATTTATATGAAAACACTAACATATCATTTGGATAGAGAAAAGTAAGAAATCAACATACAAAATTATCCGCCTGAGTGGCCGAGTAGGCAAGAGTCTCGACTAGTAACTCAATAGTCGTGGGTAGAATTTTTAATAAAAAGCCGATAGCCCTAGATGCTAGTGCTTTAAGACTTTAGTCTTAGAATTTTTATTCTCTGGCTAAATTTATAATAATAATAATAAGAATAATAACATACAAAATTAAAATTAATATGAAAAGAGAGTTTTTGGATATCATTTAATGAAACAAGAAACTTTACAAAACTTTGTGACATTATCGAGAGCCCTTTACAGTTAATTGTCCCATGATATTGAAAATTATTTCCTAATAAAATACACTTTATTAAAACAAATTGACAAATATATTTAAATTAAAGATTTTTTGCCTTCTCCATTTTCTGGAAAATAATATAGGGTATAATTAAAATTTCCTATGATATTATGTTGCCTCAAGGAGTTAACACAATATAAAATTCGATAAATGGCTTTTAAACTTAACATACATTGTTTTTATTTCTTATTCTACCTATTTCTTTTGTTTCTTTAAGTGTAAAACGATATGATTTGCCACTTCCCACATAGGCTCGTTAAAAAATGAACAATTTTTTGTGATGCGTCATTGTGGTTATTTACTTATTCTTTTATTCCTAAGTTTCAACCAAAGTCATGCCTTAAGGCAAAGACGATGGTTGCGTTATGAATTGCATGGAGCGCATAATCGCGTAAAACGCCAAACCACCTTGGCTGCATTGCTAAAACAAAATCATATACCAAGCGTTTGTTTACATGAAAGTTAATGAAGAGCATAATTAACGTAGGGAAAGTATATCCTTCCTTATAGAAATAGATAGCAATACATTTTAGCTTGATTTTTTCTCTTTTTTTAAATAAAAATGTAAATTACCACTTTAAAATAATACTGCGCCGAAACATTAACCATATGATTATGTTTTGGTTTCACAAATAGATCACTGTTCTGTATGTCATCGACAACGCACGCATAAATTTTAAAATTTTTACAAAAATTTTCGCTCAACCACCTACAAGCCACGCATAAAGCAAGTATTGTTTTACGCTTTAAATTCGCGGAAGGTGAGTGAGGCTTCGTTGTGCCCGTCATAATGAATGCCTTCATATGCATGTGGAAAAACAAAATTCGCCAACTCTATTTAGAAAGTGGAAACTTTTTCTTTTTGCACATAAATTTTAGATAATTGTAAAGAAAAGATGGAGATTTATGTTTCACCAACAGCCGAAAGCAATCCTTTGCAAAAACGTGTGAATAAAATATTAGAGACTAGATTGGACATCGAGAAGGTGTAGACAACGGAATGCCTACATGTGAACAAATCTTTAATGCAATATATTATATTTACATTCGTAGAACACCTTAGAAGCCCTAACGGATTTGTCATCGTTTTTTAGCCATAACACATTGCAGAATCGGCGTAATCTACGTAATCAAATTGAAAAGCGTTCTGTCGTAATAAACGACAATTTCCTAAAATGTTTTCGAGAAGTGAAGATTAGTTTAGATACAATCTGTAGAGATTTAGATGCTTTGTCTGATTCCGTACAGATTATGAAAAATGATCTGGAATTTTCTAAAGCTTTAACTCATAATCTTATTAAGCGGACCAATGCGTTGCAACAAGAAAAAGAGTGCTTGCAGGCTCGCAAACAAATTGCAGAAGCTTTCTTGCGTCGCTTCCAAATAAGTTTACATGAGCATCAGTTGCTTTACGGCAATACAAAAGATGCTCCTATTGACGCTGAGTTCTTTGATGTGTTGGATCGTGTGCGAAATATACATTCTGATTGTCGCATTTTAATGCAAAGCGGGTATCAAACAGCAGCTTCAGATATAATGGAAGAAATGAATTTACATCAAGAGGGTGCCCTTGAACGGCTGTATAGGTGGACTCAAAATCATTGTCGCAGTGTAGAGAACGAAATTGGGCCATTAATTAGCAAAGCCATGGGCCATCTGCAGGACAGACCAATACTATTTAAGTATGTTAAAAAGTATGCATTTGATAATGAAGCTTATTACATTCCGTTAGGTATGTTATCGATGAGTACGCTATTGCACGGAAAGCAGCTTTAGTTCGTTTATTTATTGAAGCACTAACTGAAGGTGGCTCCAGCGGTAATCCTAAGCCTATAGAAATGCATGCTCACGATCCAAAACGTTATATCGGAGATATGTTCGCTTGGTTACATCAAGCAATACATTCAGAAAAAGAGACTCTTTTACTGCTACTAAAGGAATGCGATAAAAATGGTATGTTGGATATGCTTTGAAAATTAGAATAAAAATTTAATTTCTTAGACTATGCAGATCTCTCAGAATATGTGCAGAATGCTTTAGCCTATATAACAGATGGTGTTTGTCATCCTTTAAAAGTGCGGGTGGAAACTATTTTACATACAGAAAAAGATGTAATTTCCCTGTTCGCTCTTTCGAATCTTATACGTTTTTATCAGAAAACTATGAAACAAGTTGTTCAAGGCCGCACTTTCGAGCATTGCTTAGTGGAATTGCAGGTATCTATTGAAGAAGTCTATTTGAGGTCTCTAACCAACCAAGTACGTCAAATTCTACGCAGGCCTGCACCTGCGTCAGGTGTCTTAGAGCTACCACAACGCGATCTGTCGCCGCCTGCTAGTGTGGGACGCTTACTTAATCTACTTAAAGACATTCTTTCAGTAGCCACCATGGTAGATGGACATCAGTCTGATATCATTAAAATTGTGGCTTGCGTCATTGATCCGCTGCTACTATCAGTACAAGAGTCGGCTTCACATTTACCTACTGTTGATATGGCCGTTTACCTTCTAAATTGTTTATACCATATGCAGAGCACATTGGCTGTTTATGAATACATGGACGAGCGAGTTGAACGTTTGCAAGCGCAGTCTGAAGCGCAAATCGATACTCTTACCTCGGAGCAGTCTTCATCTTTGGTGTCGAATCTCCAACTGGGCCCCATCTACACCATTTTGCAAACAAATCAAACACAAATCGAAACAAATTTGCTTAAGATATTTATGAGCAAAATGAATGATTTTTTAGAGATGCCTGACATTTTGCTTCTATCTCAGATACAGCTGATTATGTCAAGTGCTCATCGCTCTAATGTCCGCAAACGTTCCTTTAACGTTATTGTTGCGATCTATAAACAGATATATGAGCGTGTACATGATCCAACTAATGGTTTTGAAAATCCGCAAGCTATTTTCTCAAAGACCCCAGAACAAATAGCGAAGATATTGAACGTTTGAAGAGCGCAAGAAAAGTTACGTTGTAAATTAAGTAAATTTTAATTTTTTAAATGAAACTAATTAAATCAGGAAATCATATTCGGCTCTGTATTCACACAGAACATGCAAATATATATTGCAGTTTATGAGTTGTTTGCAAAACACCCATGTTTTTCCTTTAAAAACTGATTTCTTCTCACTTTAGTCAGACAAAAATATATTATTCCAATGTTCTAATTCTATAACTCTAAGTGGGCCAATATAAACCTTATCCAATTTGTGTCGTGGCTTATCGGGCATTAACACAAACTCAACGACCCTAACTTTTATATAGTCAGATTTTACCTCTTATTAAATTGAATTGTTCAAGAAGATGTGCACCTCGTCTATGCCCTCATTCTAACGTGAATTTAACCTCTTTTCGTTCTATAATGTCCACAAATCTAAAACAGGCGAGATTTTCCCGAACGCCAATTCGAATGAACAATATCCGTGTGCAACGAAAGGTTTTGCCTATATACAGTTTTTCGGATGAAATATACGTCGTCAAATATTGTTTTAATGTCCTATGAGGTCTATCGACATTACCAGGAGTCTCAAGAATTGTCATTCCAACATCTTTAGTGGATTTTTTCTTAACCACAATCAGATATTCGGTCAAATCACATATTGCCGCGGGTGTATATTCACCATCTGAGCTAGATTTGGGTGGATCCTACCAAGGTCGAATTCCTTTGCCGGCGTAGTTGTTATGATGAAGCCTTGACACCAGACTTAGCCTTCTGACAATCGCGGCATATCTTATATAATGTTTAGTAATATTTTATATAATATTTAGTCATGCTTTTCCCATAATATTTCCTCCGATTTTCTTATATAAACGGTCTGTGATCGGTCTTGATCAGAAATTTTCTAGCACAAACGTACGATCTAAAATGTGTTGCTCTAGATGAGGCGGTTCCTCTTCTTTGGTAGAATTTTTGCTTTTACGCTTTTTAAATACCCAGATGAGCAGAATGCGAGCGTACCGCTGTCGTATCGCACGATAGCCCTATAACGAGACGGCCCCACCGCAGGCAAAAAAGAAACATCTTGTAGTCTCTTAAAAAGCAAAACCAGAAAAGGAGGACTTCGACTTTCTACCTGTTCTTCTATTTCTCTACAGGGTCTGTAGAATCATGCATAGAATATATGTGCAAATTTTTATCGTTGTGCCTGTTGTTGTTTTTAACTTGCAAGCAAAAAAATTTTTTTTTTTTTGCTTATGAATAGAGGCTGCCATTCGAAAACGATTTTTTTTCGGGAGAATTTACTTAAGCGTGTAATGTATCTGAGTATTTCCATTGAGTATCCATTCCAGTGAGTATCGATTACGTGCCTAGTTAGTCAGGAAACGTTACGGAAGAAAAAAATATCTGATAATATAGTGAAAAATATCTAAATGGCAAGTATGCGTTTCAGCTGTTATATCGTATAGCTGTCCATGTATTCGTCATCAGTTTCGTCTGGGACAATCGTCGCTTGTAGATCTGTATGTGTTCTGAGGGCTATTTTTTCTCAAACCTGGTGCTTGGGTAGCTAAGCCGCTAAGTTTTGTTTCACAAGAAATTTCTTTGTTTCCCTTGGTCTTTCTACACTTCTGTTCTTCTGTTTTTCCAGTTTTCTTTAGCTTTTGATAAAACTTATGTACATAGATTTAATGGCTTTACTTTCTCCAGTTGAATTTATATAAGATTTTATATTTCTTTATTATTATTATTATTAACATTTTAGACTAATGAAGTAAAATCTTAGACTAAACAAAAAAAAGACATTGAGCACTAGCAACACAGGCTATCGGCTCTAATTTAAAATAATGTACATTAGATAATGAGCTTAGTAGTATTAATAAAGTAATATATAGAAATGATATTCGATTCTGAAGTTGATTTTAGAATGTCCAAAGGGCTAATCGCTCCAAATGCAATACTTCTAGCCAAGGAAAAGTTAAGGCAGTCGCAGAGAATGCGTTTTATAGTGAGAGTTTGTCCACAACTGCAGATTGGGGAGGAAGACTTCTTCAAGATCCATTGGTGAGTTGCAATTGTATGACCAAGGCGAATTCTCGCAAATGTTTGGATCTTGGTTTTCTCAATATTTGTTGGATATAAAGGTGGAGTTAATTGAGGGTTAATGGAAGAGTAGTGTTGATGATGGTATTGTAAATTTTCTTCTGCAATTTTTTCTTTAACTTTTCATCCAATGTATCTTTGAAGATCCAACTTTTCCATGACACCATCCATAATTAGAGGAGTAGAAGCAGCATACCTTGCTACTCGATCAGCCTGCTCATTTCCCAATAAATCGATGTGACTTGGTACCCATAACATTTTAATTTTTCCGTCGGGAGTTGTAATAATATTCCTTAATTTGTTGATGGTGCTCCATCTCGAAGTCGAAGGGTTCCGAATAGCTTGTAATACAGACAAACTGTCGGTAACAATGACGGTTTTAAGTGTGCTTTTATGGGCAAGGTTCGCAGCGTGAAGGATAGCTCTGGCTTCGGTTGTGAACGTTGAATTCCTTTCGCTGAATATGTGATTGAGAAGAACCTGTCCTGTAGCATCTACCACGGCACAAACAGGAGGCAGGCCAAAAGATTTTGAGCCGTCTGTGTATAAAAGATTCCAACCAGTACTCTCCAATACTTGGGTTTTTTCAGCTATTAGATTCCTGAAGACGTAATTTGGAGTATCTTCTTTTTTGTGCATAGAGATGTCAAAAGAGCAGTCTTCCAAAATCCGTGCAGGTTTAACACCAAAAGAGCGGAAAATTTTTAAGGGACTATTAAATTCCTTTGCGACATAGAAACAATGGTCACTTGCAGATGTTGACTTTGGAAATTTCTTCGTAATAATAATCTTTTTCACGTTACCGAGAATAGATTTGTTTGAATTAAGAAGCTTGGGCACTATTTTAGCTTTTAACTCATACAGTCTACTTTCTAAAGTTTGGAGACCAGTTTCAATTATAATATTGTTTATGGGCGTCGTCCGAAAAACATAACAACTTGCTCTGACGGCTTGGTGATAGACCGGTTTAAGGATGTTGATATTAGATTTGCAGTTATTGCCATAAATTATCAAAGCATAGTCAATCTTGCTTAACACAAGCATTTTGGTAAGATAAGCAATAGTGTTAATATGCGCATGGCTTCTCCAAGCAACGTACTGTATGAAATTCACCCTTGTTAAATTTTTTAACCGAAGACAGTGTGCTTTCCAACGATAATTGTTGGAAAACGTGAGCCCGAGAACATGGAGCGTCTGCACATTTTGTACTGGTAAGTCGTTAATATGCATCAGTAGGTTTCCTCCATCGCACATTTGTTTTCTGAACAATTTCATCTTCCGATTTTAATTTTTTTTCTTTGGGGGGATAAGTCTGCTAATAGATGAAATCTATTTGAGTTTTTATCTGGCGGCCCCGGGGCCATTATGCCTTATGGTTGTCTCTTATTTAATAAATTGGAAATAACCACTCACTTGAAAAGGTTTGGGAACTGCTGAGGATAATGACAATTGTTTTCAATATTTTATTTTTCTTTTATGTTTTTTGTTTTTTTGATTTTTTTATTATATTTGCAGAAAAAGAAAGCAAATATCGTATCTGCGGCAATCAGTTTTTGCAAAAGCACAGACAACACACGCGTTAAACACACAAAAACACCGAAAACAATTAAAAAATCGCAGACGAAAAACAAAACACGCACTACTCAGAACACAAGTCGATGTCGAATCCGTATATTTCTTTAAAATATTGTTTCTTTCGAAAAATATATTCCAGATATTTCTTCGTTGACATTTACTATTTTCCTTCCTTCTACATTAAAGATAAGTTTATCTCTCTTAATCTAAAACCCTAGCACCACGATCATTGTAACTACACCAACCAGACCGAAACGTCCACTCTTTTCCTCACCCCGCGATCAACTCACTTTCTCTAACTTACTCTAGCACTGACTAACCTGACTAAACTTCGGCTTAAACTAATTCTTAATTTCTTCTGATTTCTCTTTCCTCTAATTTCTTCTTATTTAATCCTAACTCTCTTAGCCTTATTTACTCTAGCACTCCCGTCAGAGACGAAGAACCTGTGAGGCCAAAACGAGGGATGACTTTGGTTCCTTACAGTGTGTTCGTTTGTCCGTTGTGGCATTATCCTATCTTCTGTCATTCACTTATCATACACAAACTTGCCACCTTCTGTTTCTTTCAGACAAAAAAGAATTATTTATATATACCTGTATTAATTGTAAAACGAAATGAAAAAAAAGCTAGTACTTATCTTAATCGAAAGAACTTTTTCCATGCACGTTGTGAACCATATCTCAAGGTACTCATCTTGGCATTCTAACGTTGATAGGCACGAACACTCTTGTTAGTCGCCTTTTAAGGCAAGCACTTGTTACTACCATCAAAGTCTCCTTTTTTCGTTTATTATCATAGTTTCACTTTTTCAACAAAGTTTTTCTTCATTAGGTTCAAGTTTCAATACAATAATATATGTTGAATGTATGTATGCACGGCGTAAATAGAACAGACAAAAAGAAGATAATTGCTAAAAGCTAAAATTAGTCTAAGTAACTCAAAATAAAGATGAATAAAAGGAACTTTAAAAGTTAAATAATTAAAAATGTAATACAACTACCATAAAACCAAAACAAAAAAAAAAATGCAATAATCCTCTTCTTCAATCAACTTCAATCCTCTGTAAACGGCCCCAGGATGCGGCAAGGTCCCCGAGTAGAAGTAGTCAAAAGAGACTACCACTCCAAGGAAATGCCGAGGCGAAGCACTGAATCAGTGCAGCAACTACAACCAGAAAGGAGAGTCAAAAGCAAAATTTCCAGCAACGAACTCATTAATAATGCCAGCAACCATAATATTAATGTAAGTAATAAATTTCACATTTCTCTACATAGTAATGAAAAAGTAAATGTCTCATTACTAATGGAAGTTATTGAGCTTAAAAAAAGAGAAATAAAAAATAAAAGTAAACTCAAAGTTAAGAAAGTAGAAAAAATAGAAGAGAACGGAAAAAAAATTTAATTAAAAGAAGGGGGAAAATTAAAGTAAAGCTAAAGGAGAATATGAAAGAATCGAACTGAGGAAAAAAGTGAAAAAATAATAAAAGTAGTTTAGAAATAAAAATTGAAACAATAAGTAAAAATAGAGATAAATTAAAGAAAGAAATTTATTTATTTATTTATTTATTTTATTCCACTTATACTAGAAACTCAACTAAACAAATAGCAGTCGAGTTCAATAGGCTCTTAATGCAAAACTTATATTAATTAACAATAAAATTGAGTATAAGCATAATAAAACAAATAAGAAGAAAAAAAAAAAAAAGAAAAAGAAAAAAGAAAAAAGCATGTACACTATCAGCATAGGAGCACACTTACAACCGGTACAGGATCAAATTGCAAATGAACCCCTAAGCCATCGCAAACATGCATAAGCCTGGCAACCGATAATAAATTGACAATAATTCACTTTCGAAACGTAACGACTTTTTAAGGATAAAAGCTAGTTTAAATACGACATAGGTAAATCGCGCGTATTAAGCAATGTTGCTTTAATGGACTTTAAAGAGTCCGATAACGAGAATAAGTGGTAGACGTCATTTAGGTTCTTGCAAACGACTCTGAGCGGATTGAACAGCTCATAATTAAATTTACACTGATTAAGCTTTACCAAGATAAAGTGCCTAGAGAAGCGGTTAGGGACATTGAAGCTTACTTCACCAAGTAATGAAGGCGAGTCAATAGCACCATTTATTACTTTAATTAGAAAGGAAACGCCAAGAACAAATCTACGTTTCTCAAGAGACGGTAGGGACAGCAGAAGCAACCTATTTTCATACGGAGGAAGAGAGGCAATCGGATCCCAACCCAAATTTCTAAGGGCAAACAGCAAGAATTGCTTTTGAACTGATTCAATTGAATCTACGTAGCACCTATATGAAGGAGACCACACAACTGAGGCATACTCGAGTATGGGTCTAACCAAACACATGTACAGCCTTTTCGTAATGTAGGGATCATCAAGCTCTTTGGACCACCTTTTTATAAAACCAAGCGCGGACCTAGCTTTGCTAATCGAGAGCTCAATATGCAAGTTAAAACGTAACCTATGGTCAAATAGGACGCCTAAATCCGTAATCGAATCGACGTCCTCCAACTTATGCGAATCTATGAAATACTGAGTAATGAATGACTTTCTTCTTGAGAATGAAAGCTTCTTACATTTACTCAGATTTAGTTGCAGGAGATTCAAAGAGCACCATGCAACAAAATTATCTAAATCACCTTGAAGCTGATGTGATTGCGATTCAACAGAGAAGGAAGAAAACAGTTTCACATCATCAGCATACATTAAGATCTGGCTGTAATTAACCACCGATGGGAGATCGTTAATGTATAAACTAAATAAAATGGGACCCAAGTGACTTCCTTGAGGTACGCCAGACGTAACGGGGAATTCATCCGAGCTAATGAAGTTAAACAAAACTCTGAAGGATCTATTGTGCAGATAAGAGCTTATCCATTTCACTAAGTAGGGTGGGAAACCAGAGGCTTGGAGTTTAAAGATAAGTAGTCTATGGTTAACCAAATCAAATGCTTTGCTTAAATCAGTGTAAATAACATCTGTGCGAGAGCCACTAGAAAAAGCCTTGAAAACATGACAGGTAAACTCTAACAAGTTGGTGACTGTAGATCGCCCTTTCCGAAAGCCGTGCTGGTGCGGAGAAATATACGAATTAATGGCAAAGGCTAAATGCTGAGTCACAATACGCTCGAACAACTTGGGCAAGACACTCAACTTGGCTATGCCTCTGTAGTTCTCAACAAATTGTCTACTTCCACTCTTGTGGATAGGAATAAGGAAACTACTCTTCCAACATGAAGGGAAAACACCTGAACACAAGGACATGTTAAAAATCTTTGAGATCACACCACACAACTCGACAGCGCAAGATTTAAGTACACATGATGGAATTCCATCAGGTCCAGGCGAACAACTGTATTTTAGAGAACTTAACCCTTTGAAAACATCATCTTCCGAAATAACCAAGTTAGGTATTGAAACCGAGTTAGTTATAGGATATGGGTAGTTTCCTGATAACTCAAAATTAGCAATCGAAAAGTTTCGTCGGAAATACTCAGCAAATAGATTTGAGATTTCAAAATCATCCGAGGAACCAGAGCCATTAAAAGAAACATGAGAGGGATATGTGGAAATTTTTCTTTTAGAGTTAACAAATTTAAAGAAGAATTTTGGATTAGCAAACAGAGAGGATTTAATGAACTGAAGGTATCTGCAGTAATAATGATGGTTGAGGGAGTTAAATCTATGCCTCGCCACCGAGTAAGCGACATAGTCGAGCGCAGAGCCACTTTTCGAATATTTTTTGAATAGCGAGTTTTTTCTATTCTTGTGATATTTAATTGTCTTATTAAACCACGGGGGACATCTGCTTCGAGGTCGACAATGCTTGATCGGAACAGATGCAGCAATAGCTATATTTAATGTATTGTAGAACGATGGCATTAAGTTTTCAATACTACCGGTTGAGAAATCAAGCGTCAGATGTGAAAGACGATGTTTTAGTAATACAATATTGATTTTATGAAAATCATAATAATTATTTAAACAAGTTTGAGTTGGCACATTAAGGCATTCCAACAAACCATCATTAATATGATGAAAGGAAATGCATATTGATGGATGATAAGGATCCTCAGGTAAACTAAAAGGTGGGCAACGATTTACGTAAATCTCGGGAAAATTGGCAAAGCAGAGATCAAGCAGTCTACCATTACAATTAGGGATACGATTATATTGACCCAAATTATGATCAAACAATTCATTAAAGAACACAACAGCCCTATCAGACGTTGAAGTAGGAACCAAACAGCCAGAATTATCAGTGTTACACCAAGTGACTTGAGGCAAATTGAAGTCACCCAATGCAACGACCAAATCGGTGGGTCTAGACCGCTTGGCCACTTCACAAATGAGGGCAGCGTGTTTCCCGTAAATGGAGATATCAGAATTTGGGGGAATATAGGAGCAGGTTATGAATAGATGTTTATCAGGCATATTCGCACGAATAGCGATAAATTCAACGTCAGGAGAAGTGGGAAATTCAATTAAATTGGACGTGACTGACGCAGATATTAATACACCACCACCAATGCGATTTACTCGATCATTTCTAAACACTTGGAAAGAATTATGAAAAAGTTCCGACGAATGTAGATCGGGTTTTAGCCAGGTTTCAGTAAAGGCCAAACAGAAAAATTCCGTGCTCACTGAATTTAGAAAAGTGGAACGAATTTTCGAATTTAGGCCCCTAACATTTTGATAAATGAGAGATAGTGGGCCTGAAGAAACAATTAGTTTTTTGAAGGCGACAAGACTATTGCCTTGGTATTACGGGGACGATCACGAGGGATAAATTCCTTAATTAAGGATCCTACCGGCCACAGTGATTTATTTAACAACATATCACTGTTTTCAGTCGGAACTAATATTTTAAAAGAGGAGATTGCCCTAGCTTGAGAAGGAGCCATTTTGAAGATGCTAACACGCTTTAAGTTGACTAATGGGACTTTCGTCGCCAGATAACCTTTTATGTTATCCACCGATGTTTCAGGTGTCAGTCTTGACACAAATATTGCTTTTCTGGGAGGAACTGCCGTCAAGCAAATGTCATTATTTTGAACAGGAGGGGGGTTCACAGTAGGAGAGTTTCGAGTTGGGGAAAATATAGATGGGGTTATCGCCCTTGTACCGGCAGCTTGTGAGACTTGCCCAGTCTGGTGACCAGCATTCACACGCGAACAGGCAGGAGGAGAGGATGACTTATTTTTCTCTTTATTACTTTTAGGCGATGGCACTTGATTAGAGTGAGTGGCGGCTCTGGGCGGAGATACCCTTGCCACTTCAGCGTAGCTTAAAACCGATGGACTTGCCGGTTTGTTTGTAACTGTTTTGCTACCAACCGACTCAGCAATATCGGAAACATTACTATTCATTTTAGAGTTAGAAGGAGCGGTAACTTGTACCAACGAATTAGATTTGGAGAAAGCCAGAGGTGAAGTCCCATACGCTACGCTACGAGTAGAAGATGAGTGTCCAATAAAGCGACACTCATCAAACCTAGACTTAATGAGCTCAAACTTTTCCCACAAGGAGCCGAGATTTCTACTCAATTCCGAGAAACCATAACGGGTCTCCGTGAAAAGTTTATAAAAGTCAATGTCCCGCTGCCTACAGTCAGGACATGACCATCTTAAGCCTTTAGAAGGATCAGCGACTGCGTCAGCAGCACGGCCGAGAATACCGGCACACTTTGCATGACCGAAGCGCTCGCAGAGCCAACAAGAAACGAATCTTTCAGAATCCGGGCCTGATTTCGCCCGACAAGGTGTATATAAACACTCCATGTCCTGTCAAAAAGACAGTTGTTGATTATGGAGAACAGACACACAAATCACTAAAAAAAAAAAAAAAAAAAAAAAAAAAAA